GCTGGGGACTCTAGACCCAGAGAGGGAGAGAAGCTGTGTGCTGATGACCTGGGGCAGGCTTGCAGGGTATACCCTTTGGTTGGTTGATGATGCATGGAGAGGATTCTAACCATGGCAATGAAACGCTATATAATAGGATCAATGTAAAACGAATGTTCTGCCATGTAAACTATCACATAATTCACAATAAAACATTTAAAAAAATGATAATGGAATTTTCCACAGAGTTTTTGAAGTTCCCCTCACACATTGAATCCACTCCAATGTTGAGCCCAAACCAAAAACAAGACCTTCACTTTCATATATCTAAGAGTATCTTAGAAGATCTCATTCAGAGGAAATTTGGAAGGATTCTTTATTTTATTTTATTAGTTTCATTAATAGAAGACTATTTTTCCTTCTATCACTGCATTAGGATTGACCCATACAGAACGGTTTGTAATTACACAAAATAGGAAACAATCTTTGAGCGTCTTCACACTGGTGGTATTATTCTAGAAGAGTCATAACATCTGTGCCACATAGCCATACAGCCTTCCAAATAAGTCTAAAAATCAAACAGTGTCTTTGTCAACAAAGGTTCCATGTTACCATCTTTGCAAAAATGTAACCATCTCAGTTTCCTGGGAGTACAGCAGGTTTATATCAAACCCCCAAAGAACGACTTCCTTAAGAAACACTTTTCGCTTTGCATGTTTCCTTTTAAGGACTTGGGAAGCTAATACATCTTTTCAAAGAGCTGATGAATTTCAACTGCTCATATCAAAAATAAATAAATAAATATATATATATATATTCAAATCTATATGAACAAAAATATTACCTTTTTTCTCTTTTCTGGAGATACAACCACAGCAGAATATTATAATCAGAATCATTATCAGGATCAAAAGCAATGAAAGTGATACTGCAAGGAGAATTATTGCCCAGGTAGGCAATGATGGTTTATCAGTATTGCCTATAAGATTGAGAGGAGAAAAAAATATTTTAGTGATGCTTCTTACTGTTTGTGGTAGCCAATTAGTGGTTCTGCCACACTATAAATTAGATCAGTTTTCAAGTTTATGACTATCTGGCCTAGAATGGAGAAGTATTGTATCCCTTCAATTTGTTCAATTATTCAATAATCTATAGTCTTGTCTGCTACAATACTAATTACTGCTAATAAAATCTTAGTAACACCATCATTTCAAGCATTAGTTGATTAACACTACTAACTTTCCTGAAAGGTAGATAAGGCTAAGTTCTAGCTTGTTGCAATTGGAGTTGTATTAACATATTCATACATTTTTATTCAGTCAAGAAATACTTATTGAGCACCTGCTACTGGACTGTGGGACCATTGGTGGTTCCGTGGTTGAATTCTTGTCTTCCATGCAGGAGATCAGGATTCAATTCCAGGTCAATGCAACTCAAGCCCAGACACCACCCATATGTCAGTGGAGGCTTGCAAGTTGAATAGGTTTCAATGGAGCTTTCAAACCAAGATGTGTCAAGAAGAAAGCCTTAGAGATCTACTCCTGAAAACCAGCCAGTGCAAACCCTATAGATCAGAATGATTTGATCTGCAACCAGTCTGGGATGGCATGGGGCCGGGCAGTGCTTTGTTCCATTGTTCATAGGGTTGCCATGAAACAGGGGCCACCTGATGTCAGCCAGCAATGAACTACTGGACAAGATTAGAAGAAAGACATTTGATTCTCATTTCCATGTCTCTAATTCTCAACATTCTTGTCATTGTTGTGAGTATTATTGATAGCAAGCCTAAAGGACCGAGTTAAACTGTCTCACAGGGTTTCCTAGGCTAAAATCTCGACAAGACCAGATTCTCAGGTCTTTTCTCCCACTGATTGTTCAAAACAGACCTTTTGTTTAGCAGCTGTGGTTGTTAAGTGCTGTCAAGTTGGTTCCAACCCATAGCTGTGCTATATAGGGTTTCCAAAGAATGGTTGGTGAGTTTGAACCACCAAACCTTTGGTTGAAACAGACTTTGAGGTCAAGTACTTATCTTACAGTGCCATACCAGGACTCATTTAAAGCACGAAGGAAAGCAAGACAAATGGAGGAAGGACCACTTCTAAAGCCAACTAGTGCAAGGGTTTCGCTTCAGCTATGCTCAAACCCCACCCACAGCGTCCATTTCCCATATAGTAATAGCTTTGTCCATAGCTCCTAGGAATCTGCCTTTTTTAAATGCCAACTTTCCCTCTTGTTTTACAGAGGTGTCTAAGAGTTGGAAGAGAGAAGAATAAAATGAGGCAGTAAGGATCCCTGACAGCACAGTGGATTATAAACTGGGCTGCTAACTGCAAGTTTTCTCTGAGTCACTCTGGGGGGAAAGATGAGACTTTCTGCTCTCATTAAGATTTATAGCCTTGGAAATCCTATTCAGGGTTGCTATGAGTTGGAACTGACTCAATGGCATACCACCACCACCACCATGATGAGACAGAACACATAGGAAATAAAAGGAGGGAAGGATGGGGGTGGGGGGAGAAAGGAAAACATTTTGAAATTTTACAGCCATATCATAGCCAGGAATGGCCAGTGATATATTCCTATCAAAAGTTTATGTTAATTAAAATTCTATAAAATTTCTCAATCAGTGCCCCAACCATAGAGCCACATTTCAGTGCTCATTTACGGTAAGCATAAGGCATTTCCATCAGCATAGAAAGTCATGTTGGATGTCTCTGTTGTTGACTTAGGGGAACTGCATTAATGTCCCTTCTAAAAAAATTGCCAACAAATCAATTCCAACTCATGGTAACCATATGTGTATAGAGCAGACTACACTCCATAGGGTTTTCAAGGATGTGACCTTTTGGAAACAAATCAAGAGGTCTGTCTTCTGGCACCTGTGGGTGGCTTCAAACCCACAACCTGACAATTACTAATGGAGCACTTAACCCCTCTTTGCACCACTCAGTGTGTCTTTGAGGTCCCAAATAGAGCATTTTACTTCTTTCTATCACTTGACTGCCAACTACAAAGTTCAATCCCACCAGCCGTTCCTTGGAAACACTACACTACACAGGGTCACTGTGAGTCACAACTGACTCAACAGCACTTAACAACAACAACATTGAACCTCTGAAGTCATACCACAGCCATTTACATTAATGTGTTTCGATGTAAACTGCTATTGGATAAAAGTCTGCCACTCAATCCTGACTATTTGGATGCTTTCACAAGGTAAATGCATGCTATTTTATTACATACTAGTCTGGTACTATAAGAGAAGCACTGGACTGCTAATCGAAAGGTTGGTGGTTCAAATTCACAAGCCACTCCTCAGAAACCCTATACAGAGTCACTATGAGTCAGAACCGACTTAATGGCGCTTAACAGTAACAACAGTCATTAGAAAATGGACTTCCTTTGAAGAAAAATAGTGTTTGCTTTTATTTTTTAGGGTTTGCTTTTAAATCAACAGTCGCCTAACAGTTTGGAACCAGAAAATAGAGTTCAAAAGCAGCTCTTAGACACTCTTTAGAGTTTTCCTTGAAGACTGACCTTTTGATTGTAGTTGATGCACTTTTCCTACATCAAGTTTAAATGTTCAGAATAAGCTGGGGTTTTTTTTTTTTGTTGTTGTTGTTGTTAAATGCCTTTGAGTCAGTTCTGACCCATAGCGACCCTGTATAAGGTTTGCAAGGAGCAACTGGTGAACGTGAACCACCAACCTAGCAGCTCAAAATGACTTTGCAATCCAATGCATTAACCCACAGTGCCACACCAGGAGTCCAGAATAAGTTGTTGCTGTTGTTATTGTTGTTGTTAAGTGCCATTGAGTCAGTTTTGACCCATAGCGACCCTGTATAGGGTTTCCAAGGAGCAGCTGGTGAGGTTGAACCACCAACCTTGCAGTTCAAACAGCTTTGCAGTCTGCCGCATTAACCCACAGTGCCATAGTAGGACTCAGAATAAGCTGTAGGAATGATTAAAGATGACAATTAATAATCTGGTGTCTATAATCATCAACCATCTAGATGTTCACTCATGGACAAGTGAGGGGGCAACTGCAGAATAATCAATCCACTGACTTATCTAAAAGGACCTGCTAAAATGCTGAGAATATTGGACTTGGAAAAATTATAAAATATAAAAAGATATTTGTCTCCTGCTCTTCACACAAAGGAGCTCTGGTAGCGTAGTGGTTACGAATCGGGCTGCGAACCTTAAGGTC